GATGAGCATCTTGTAGGCAGATAGAACGCGACACACACACACACACACACACACACACACACACACACATACATCAGCTTGAGCCATTGGCCATCTGTTGCTTGTGAAACGCTTCCAACTCCTCCATCGCCTCAGATGTCATCGGTGCATGCGCCTGAACGACAGCGAGGAAGATGAGTAGATCGAGCGTGGTGGATGGCAACGCCAAAGATCAGATGGACGGATGGAAGGAGTGATGCAAGGTTGCGCAGACAGACACACCCACACAGACAAACACGCACGGTGTCTCTCCCCTGCGTCATCACCACACCTCCTCTGCGACAACTGCGGCCTGCGGCCACGTGACGGCGGCGTCGTTGCTCTGGGGATGCGATTCCAACTTCCACATGGTCAGCGTCTCAAGCTCATTCACAGGCGCCCACGTGCGCTCCTGTGCAGGTGCATGTGTGTGAGTGTGCGAGTGAGTGAGTGAGGTTGAGGACGCAGACAGAAGACAGAGGGTTCAACCGGCACAGAACGCCGTCCGCATGCGCAATACCTCAATGTCGCTCTGTGTTTGTGTCGTAGGCTGCAGATGGAGTGCTTTCATGCCCTTGGGTGGCTGAACCTGACACCCCTTGATGCTGCGTCCACGAAAGGTTGTGCTGAACAAATCACCTGAGCACGCACACGTGCAAGCGAGATCCGTCGTGAACAGAGACACAACGGTGAAGGGGATGGATGGTGAAGCGAAAGGCAAACGGGCTCCACCCGCATGTAAACGTATCTGAAGGCACCAGCACACGCACAAGCCGACGACAAAGGTGGCAAAGGAGGCGGGAGACACGATTCGCGTGCATCTCACACACCTTGGTCACCGTCAGGTTGCGGGTCCTGCTGCACAAGTGGTTCAAAGTACTTCTTGGCGTTGGCTTTGCCAGTCTGCGGTTGCCAGCGCTGGTATGAGAGGCGAAAGAAGAGTGTGGGGGGAGACGCATGCAAGTGCGCGTGTGCACAAACACAGACAGACAGACAGACAGACAGACAGACAGACA